TCTAATTCGAAACCGACGACAAATCTCGCCGTCGTTTGCATACGTGCGCGCCCGTACGGCCTACGGATCCCCCCGACCGGGATTCCAAACGGTTGAGCCACTTGCGAAACAGCACGCGTGTCTTTGTCTAACGTCAAAGTCAGCGCGCGCGCGCGCGCGCGCGTACACGCACGTGCGTACGGCGCGTATGATGAATGTACACGCCGGGACAGCTATATGGCTCGCTGGCCCTAAATTCAACGCGCTGCTTGTACAATTCGTTAGATATCGCGGCGAGAGTCATGGACACCCGTGCGCAGGCGAGCACGCACGCACTCTCACGCATGCACGCACACGCTACGCGCCGAATAGTAGCCGATAGTGTCCAGGGCCGATTGGCGCCTATCGAAGTTTCGATCGATAACCCGCGTACGGGGGAAACGAACGCGATTACCTTGAAGTAGCGTTCCTGGTAATGCCCATCTCGGATCGATAGAACGTGGGTACATGATCGCCCGGTGACGTCGATTTATAAGAAATTGACGCTAATGAGCGCGTACGGGCGAACTGCCCTGCTCTTTGCGACACGCCGGTGTACCACTTCCGACTTTTGCGTTTCCTCTTAGCGGCAATTTGAGGTGCCGCGCGCGCGCTAATACCTCGGCAAACAGTACGCGCACTCGCCCGGATGTTTTGACGAAATTGTCGTGCGACGTGACGCTCTCGCACGGGAACGCGCGCCCGCTAATGCAACGTTTAATTTGCCATTTCGTCGCGCTTTAATTTCCTTCTGTACGCGACTTTTCCACGCGATCGGACGCGAGATTAAATACGGTCCTCGACAACACGCCCGCGACGATGGTGGAAACAAAAGTTGTATGCGTATACGTAAGAGCATTTTATCTATTTATTTAAGATTACCTCCGATAAAGACACGCCGTGTGTTAGTTGCAAATCGATATCGCAAAACAATTTAGCGGGCCGTCCGTGAGGAAAGGAGATCCAGCCGATCGATCGATGGATCGCCGAGATTACCCTCTATCGCCCGCATCTCTCGGATATCGCTCGTCGCGTCTTTCGTCCGTTCCCAGCGTGCGCGCGATCGCGATCGCGATCGAGGGCCGCGGTTCCTCAAGGAGAAACGATCTACATTTTTGTGCGCGTACAGCGCGTGGCCCGTGTGTCGCCGTCTTGTGTGCATCGGGGCGGGCACGAAATGAGAGAGGAGGCGAGACGAGCAGAGAGGAAACAGAGAGAGAGAGAGAGAGAGAGAGGAGGGGGGGGGGAGGGAGGGGGGGGGAGGACGGATAGATCTAACTGTAACCAAGACCTACTTTTCGGGCTTCCTACGAGAAACACACACGCACTTGCGTGGTGCACACGCTGGCGCGCGTGCGCGCGCGCCCACAAAGCCCTCGGCAGTTGCCCAACGCGCTTCTTCGTGACGCGCTACGATTTGACGCACCGCTCCTTTCCCTATCGCCGACTGACTCTCGTCCTTGAACCCTTCCCACTCGCCGTGCTACCTTTCAAATTTCCACCCTTTGGCCTTTCGCGACGGAATCTTACGCGACTCGGCAACGGCCCTTCAAGATAGCACGGGGAATCCAATTGTCAATTCTTTCGCCACGTGTGAGAAATAGCGTGTCTTTTGTCTGGTTTTACTTGACAAGAGGGTGCAGGGGGGTATTCGAGAAGGGACTTGCCACTTCGATTTTACGCCGCGCTCCCGCCCACGTCCCCACGTCTCTCGAAACGCGGAGTCGCGTTTTCCGTAAATCGGGACGCGCGCAAAGGTGAAAGCGTTAGACGAGGATTGGACAACGGACCGTCTCCGGGCGGCAACAGCATGTTGCACACGCGGTGGAATTGATATCGGCGCCGAAACGTGAGGAGAGTCTCGGAAGTGCGACCCCGAAAAGCGGAGGGCCGGCGCCCGGGGGTTATCGCGAATCGATATCCATGAACTTTAACTTCGTTCGATTTCATCAGACTTCGATCGTTCGTTCGCCCATCTGCTGAGAAAAATAGTCCGGCGGGGGAGCGAGAAGGAACGCGAGGAGGGAGTGGGTGGAGGCATGCATATTTTTTTAATTATCGCAATTTTGGTCTCCTTTGTGCAAACCGCCTGACCTAATCAGAGCGCACTCGCTTTATATACAATAGATTGGAGATCTGCAACGGCGGAAAGATAGGAAAATTACAGAGGTAGCCCGCTACTCGACTGGCCTCGCTATAAGTTCGTACATTTACGGCCTAACTGCAAGAGATAGGCGCTATCGCGTTTATGCGGTACACTTATCCGGTTTGTATGTCGGATAGATATCAGAGACCAGTATGTGATAAATTAGTGTTTACTCGACGCAGTGTTTAGCCCGTCCGATGTTTTGCCGATTATGCGTTGCACGTGGCTCCATTAAAGCCGTTTACTCTTATCAATTAAGAGGAATGAATGATGGCATGTAAATAAGTGACGACATGAAAATTTCCGGGCCGAGAATTTCTTAAAATACAATCTTGTTCCCTCACACCCGAGTCCAGGAAACGTAACGCGCACTGGTCCCGATAAACGGCGTTACTTACGTTCCGGGGCTATTCAATCTCCGACGACGCGGTTATCGCGACTGCATCTTTGGACCGTAACCGGGGGATATCGAGAGGCTGACGGTGCCACTTCACCGATCACTAAATAACTGCGAGGACCGTGACGCGGTAAGAAAAAAAGCGCGGGGCAAGTGGTAAGCCAACTGGTCAATTAACTTGATCAATTGTACGGTCCTCGTGTGCGACGGAGATTACTCGATAGATCGGAACACTCTCGACTTCGCGCGCCGCGCTCTTAGAGCAGCACTGAGGAATCTTTAAATATACACGCGCGCGTTATCGCGCCTATGTATGCGTCCTGCATTAAGTCGGCCGCGTCGAAAAAGCGGGGCACGGCCACGTTCGCCCCGAAAGTTGCACATTCTTGTTTATTCGGCGCGAACGATAAAGAGGCGCTCAATCTAGCTCTCGCCGTTATCGCGCACTTCCACTGATAAGTCCTTCCGAAATTTATTGACGTCGCGCGCAAGCCCGGATTCGCCGTAAAAACGCGGTATCTGTGCCCGCGCGTACGCGCTTCTCGCGCTGACGTATAAATTGCAATAACGCGTGTTTACGTCGCCCGAAGGTGACGGCAAGTCCCTCGACGCCGATTAATTTCTGCGAATCTGTTTACACTTACGGAGGCATCGGCGCTGCGCATCCCGTTTATCGCGCTCCGAGGCGACCGGGACACCCCGTTGACGAATTCTCGCGTGACATCCCGGATACCAATCGCTCCTCGAGAGCACCGAGATCGCTCGCGCGATTAATATAACCGAGGCGAGCGCGTTGCATCGCTGCTCGGTGCGAACTGCGGTTTCGCGCGAGCACGCCGCTCTTGCGGCCGTTGCATTCGCCGGCAGCGTCGGTGGGGAAGGCGCACACGGAAATTCGCGTTTGCACGTGCACGCGTGCACGTGCGTGTGTGTACGCTGCACTCGGACGCCGCGCTCATGCACCGCGACGACCGGGACCTCCGCGCGCCACGCCGCCCGACTTGGCGCACCGCCGATTGGGTGGCCACCGAGGGTAGGGGGCCGGGTCCAATCGTTTACCCCCTGCACTTCCTATGCAGTCGCCAACTTGTACCACTTGCCGCGGCCAAGTGGTAGCGGCGCGAATGCAACGCGCCGCCGGCCGGCCCTTTCGCGCAAGGAGTCGCGACTCGCGCCTGGTCGGACGCGCGGCTTGTCCAAGCGCGAGAAATGAACGAGGCGAGATCCTTGGTCGGTTCTCCGTACTAATTCTTTGACCGATCGAGTAACTTTTACTCGTGAATATACCTTTCGGCATGAAAATCAGCGAGAAGGCTCCCACGTCTCTTCTCTCGTTACATTACTGGCAGCAGATCGATCTTTTATTATGTTTTCGGTGGTCACCTACGTCGATCCTTATGTAAAAGATGTTCCGTGAATTCTCGTTACGGATCAGTTTCTAATTAAAATTCCGCTAGCCGAAAAGGGCAGAAAGAGAGAGCTCGTTCATTCAATCACCGCTGTGGCGGCCCGTTAGAAAACGAGTCGAGAATGACTTTGATCTCTGTCTCTTCTGCGCTCGAGCCGTGTAAGAGAAGCCAATATGCGATATTGTGACGCAACAACTCGCCGTCGCCGTTTGACCGGCGTTTGTGTAACGCGTGACATTTACATTGGGAAATAATTGAATATCGAATTAATTTACATCACCGCGCGAAACTGATGGACGTCGACTACACGTGCGGTGCTACATCAATGCAACGCGTCAACACGTCCGATCACGCGTACGTTACGAGAGCCCTGGCGTTCTATCGAGCGAATAACGGTGAGAGCTCCCGGTGCTCGCCGGGCATTTGAGAGCGATGTCGAAAAAGTGAAAGCCCGAAATTGTCCTGCGCTCGCGCAGAAGAGAGAGAGAGAGAAAGAGAGAGAGGACACGAACTTTCTCGTCGCTTAGATCCGACTTGTCGTGAGTGCAGCGCGCGTGAAATATCGACGTCGGAAATATCGACGAGCGAGTGCAGCTCGAAGACCGAGGAGTCGCGCTTCTTCTTGCGCAACATCGAAAAGGCGAAAGCCCGAAATCGCCCTGTGCTCGCGCAAGAGAGAGGACGCGAAACTTTCTCGCCGCTTAGATCCGACTTGCCGCGAGTGCATCGACGTCTGAAATATCGACGAGCGAGTGCAGCCCGAGGACCATAAAGGCGCGCTTCTTTTTGCGCATTATCAAGCGACGACCTTCCGCCTGCATAAGTCGGACCGAGGAGTCAAGGTCTTGGATTAGCCGGCCGACTTCTTCGGTCCAACTTTTACTCCGATTGTCGCATTATGTTAATACTTTTTCAGAATATTCAACGATTCGGCCCGTCTCCTGCTATCGAGGGTCGTATGAAAGAATTGTTTAGAGAGAGAGAGAGAGGGGGGGGGGTGGACAGAGTTTTCACACTTGAAGAAACTTACCCTCGCAGAACAGGGTGACATCGGTGAGACTCTCGCTTTTGAATAAATTGGAAAACGCCGTTGCTAGGTTGCTGCCGAAACTGTTCCACTTGAGGCAGAACTGCTGATGATCCATGATGCCACCCTTAGGCTCAACTCCGTGACCTTCACCGCTCCTCTGGCAGCCACCTTCCAATGGATATTTACCTTCTTGATCGCGCTCGTGCCCAATTGCTCGTCCAGCTACGCAGAAAGCAGTCTGGGTTATCGTACGGAAACATATAGGGAGTGCATCCGCGCGGATGTCGAAAGGCACAGACTAAATTTCGATAAAACGCATAACGCGAGGGCTCGATCAAACTGTCGGCAAGTTCAAAACGAAGAAATCCATATTGTCGCATCGAGTACTCGCCATTGTACGCACTGTCAAGTTAACTAAAACGAGCCCCGGTGACTCCGTGAATGAACGCGCTATCCATGAAAGAATATAACGCGGCGTATCGTGACGGCCGACGTCACCGGCTTTGAATGTTGATAGCTCGACACCTCACAAGCGCGACATACCTCTTACGATTCGCTGATTCCGTAACGTGTTTACGTGACAGAGGAATTATCGGACGTGTGAGGTCCAGCGGCCGCTGTTTTTCGCGCGCGCGTTTCTTCGTCGGGAGGAGGGGGGGGGGGAGGACGCGGGCGATTTCCAGATCTTCAAGCAGTTGCGGTCGCACGCGGGGCGCCTCGCCTATCGGCGGTCACGAACCGCGATCGCACGATGCCGGCCGCGCCATGTCGAAATCCCACCGCATTTCCGCGACGCCCGCGATAAAAAAACGCCGCGCGCGAAAAGAGAGGAGAGACCTTACCGATGGCAGGGGCGTGTCAGCGAGTGCGAGCGAAACAGCCGCTCCGACTTCATTCACGGATCTCGCCGGCGTAACGGCGACAACGACAACCGGCGACGCTACTCCGAAATGCACTTTAGTCCCTGGTTCGCGTCTCGGGTGGACACGTCGCCGCTGCCGGTAGACGAAGAGAAAAAAAAAAGGGGAAAGCTACAGAGTTCGGCAACGCACGCACATGTGCCCGGGCGTGGGTCCGCTGTGCGTCGTATCCGACCGACCGGTATCACCAAGGGTGGCGTAAACGCGCGCGAAGGTAGAGAACCCTCGAGTATCCCAGGCGGGATGGGTATCCGGGACCAATGACGCACCGGTCGCGCGACGCACCGAATAGACTGACTCTATACGCACTTGCCGGCCGAAATCGAGTCACCGGCTTGCATCGCGCATCAGCAACATGAACGAATCGCGCGTGACTGTCGTTCGCGGTGCGGCCGGGCCCGGGTACGCGCGGTCGCCGGGCGGGAGGGTCCACCGCCGCGCGGCAGCCGAAAAATCGCGGGCGCGAGAGCGAGAGGGAACGAGGAGGCGGCTACGCGGCACCGCGAGACAGCGGGGGACGGGAACGGGCCATTCGAGAGGGAGCCGGCGAGAGGGAGTGAGGGACGAGGGAAAGAGAGAGAGAGAGCGAGCAACACTGAGGGACCGCCGCCGCTATATCGCTGAGAAGAGTGTGAATATGGGTCATCGGTGGCGATGCAAATGCGGTTACACGAAGCGTGGGGGGGTTTTCGGTGCTCTCCTCGGGCACCCGGCGAAACACGGAACCACCGGGGGAAAGGGGACCGCCGGGTGGGTGGCCACGGGCGGGGGATTCGGCTTCTTCGGAGGGGTAGGGATTCGCTGGAACGGCGAGGCGATTGCTTAAGGCCTAGAAGTTTCGACTCTCGCGCTGCTCCCCTCCTATTTTTTTTTTCTTTCTCTCTTTCTCTTTCCCCGCCGAGGAGCTTTTTTACTCTTTCGCTCTCACGCGCTGCGACGCTCTATCTTGTTCGTCTCATTTTGGAACGTTATCCTCTCCCTCCCGGTCCCCTAACGTTTCTAAGGTATCACGCGTCCCCACTGCGTTCTCGTCCAATGTACAGCAGGGCCGCATCGCGGGAGTGAAACGTCACATACGGGAATCACGGTAGAAGAGGAATCTTGGAGCGTACAGCGGCAACCTTGACGAGCGCGTGTGCGCGCAGATGTGCGCAGGCAGTTTGCACATATCCCAAGTGAAATTCGACGTGGCACCTCGAAATTTATTACGTTCTCGTGTACGCGGGCGAGAGCGCTAGGCGTAGTCACGTAAGCGTGCCCGAATTCAGATCAAAAATCAGCGGAGCAGCGCGATCGATGCCCATCGCTAGGAACCACCAGCGGCACGAGAAGCGCGAAGGCGGTGGGGAAGTTTAGGCGTTGGAGGCGCCTCGAGAGTTGCGTGGCTCCGGAACCGCGCGAAAGGAGGAGCGCGCGCGAGAGGTGAAGCGGGAGGAGGCGAAGAAGGCGGAGGAGGAGGAGGAGGAGGACGAGGAGGACGAGGAGGAGGCCGAAAAAGAGGAGGGAGATGTACGCATCGCGGCGCAATAGGTGGGGACCGCGGCATCGCGTGGTGGCAAAACGCACGCTGCTCGGTAAAGGGAGAGGAGGTCCAAGAGGGAGGCGCTCAAGGTCGCCGCGGAGCCGCACGCGCGCCTCGGCCACGCATACACGCACGCGTATCCCCGCGTTGCGCACGCAACGCGGTATACGTACGCCGTTGCAACACGGGCGTGTGCACGGATGTGCGCGCGCGCTGCAGCGTAGATCGCGGGTGCGTGTGCGTGTGGCCAATGTGTGTGCGCGCGCGTCCGCCGGCGTCGTAATTCGGCGCTCTTATGGCGGCGGTATTATGTCATCGCATTCGTGCTTCGGAAAAACAGAGCTCTTACTCCTCGCGCGATCTGGCTCTCGAAAATATTAGAGTAAGGGGGGGGGGTGTATTGGCAATTCTCCGTTCTGACTCCGTCCCGAGGAGGATGCGACGATAGGTGGGATCATCCTCGCCTGGTCTCGCTTTTTTTCTCTCTCGCTCGCCCCGGCGTCTTTATTCGCGTTAGAAATTTCGAAAGAAGCCGAAAAAAATCGACGGAGCGGGCAAGGCGGACGAAAATAGACCGAGCGCCTGCATTCGCGTAATACGCGTAAGCTTCCGTAATCGCGCGATACGCGTAACTCGATACACGTCGACGGGCAGCCCGTGGCCTCGCTCGCGTGGTCGAGCAACGCGGGGCGATCTAGCTTCCGCGAGGAAGGAAGAAATTGGGCAACAATCGGCGAAATGGAAAGAGAAAGGAGAGCGCCGTTTGCTTTCGTCACGGGGATGGTCGACGGTATTGCCCCGGGCGGGTATATGGAAAAGAATGGCCGTCGTGATGTCGAGTTAACGCAAACGAGGGGGAGGGCGGAGGAGGAGGGTTTCTCCTATATATGAAAAGCGCGTGTCGTGGCTCGACGAGAAAAACACGCGCGGCGCCTACTTCGGCGAGTGCTATTTTTTTGTGGGGCGCCTTTTGGCAATAAGCGCGATCGCCTTTATACGCGATATAAGTGATAGGAGAAAGTCGTCGCGTTGATTTCTTCTCCTTTTTTCTCCCTTTCCCGCGTTGCTATGAATACGGGGCCTTATCCCGATTCGATTCGGCCAAAAGCAGCGCCGCGTGCTTGATACGCTCAACGCGCTTTGAGAACGCGCTAGCGCTTTCATAGGAAGTGCCGCCCGTTATTACGGGCAAATTGAAGCCGCGTATATAGGGGATATCAGCGGCAATTTAAGCGTAAAGATAAATGGGAGTCTCTAGTCTTAATTCTTACAGCATAGCTGCGCTCGCTGCACGAAACGCGCTACTCCTTCCATTGAAAACGTGCAGTTTCATTGAGCCCGCCGGTTTAATTAACGAAAATTTATAGTTCACACCGGAATTACGATTTCGCATCGGAACGCAAGCGGGGAGAAAATATCGCCGCGATCTAGAGCTGCCAAGTGATGGGCAAAATTCGGGGAAAATAAGTTCTGCGGAGGGGCTGCTTCGGGAAAAAAAAAATTCGATACCGTAGCCATCCGTCTATGCTAGGGCCAACCGCCGCAGCGTCCTGCCTTCGACGAAAGATACGAAAGAGAGATGAAGGAGGAAGAGATATTTGCATGAATCCCGGCAATAATCGTTTGAGGGGTGGAGAAGGCGCAGCCAAAGGGTTGGTTGGCCTGATGAAAATGCCAGAGAGGCGCAAATACGTTTGGCGACGATAACGGAGCGGCTCGGGTAAAAAGGGGGAGGGGGACGTTCTCCGTTTCAACAGTAAAAGATAACTCGCGTGGATTATCAAGACAATACGTAATTTCGCTCTGATTTCATTTCATCGCACATTTCCCGTTAGAACAGGGCGTCGTAAGGATCGTTCAAATTGAATTGCCGCGTCCATTATTTTAGGAAAACTGTAAGTAAAGCGCGTTACTATCTATTCCCAAAATAGTGACTGGTGTCTTCAGAATTACAGCGCTAGTACTGAAAGCTATACTTTACGTGACAGTCGCTCATTCTGCCGATTGTCGCGGAAGACCGTTCCGGCCCGTTACGGGGTCCCTTATACGATAGAGGTGTGACATTTTGATGTTATCTTTATACGCAAAATATCGCAAAATGCCCCAGAAACGTTTTTAATGTCATTTCTTTACATTTTGAAGTCTCCAACTTCGTTTTCAACATTTCTAACGTCAATGTTGTATCCTAAGCCAAAGAGATTTATGCCTAAGACTAGTTTTGGTTTATTCTTTTAGACATGTTACTGCTTTTATAGCCTGAAAATGATATGTAATTTCAGTAATTTGTTCCATGCTATTTTAATATGTTTAGCCGTAATATGTTTTACCGTACTTTGGGTTGGAGTGAATTTTGGTGCGCCAACGATTTTACTTAAAAAAAGAAGAGTGAAATTCTTCACCTTTTGTCTTAGAGTGGATTAATTCACTCTATTGGAGTAAATGTTCACTCGAATAGAGTGAAACGAATACGAATACTCGTATTCGGAACATCCCTAGTAGATGCACATCACCGCAAGCTAAATGAGCCGATGCGCAGCGGAAGTTAATTTTGGAGGTCAATGTCTCCGAGACTAGTTTGAGATAACAGGTTGCCGGTGCGTAGTAAAATACATTTAAAAATGCGACTCGGTCGCGGGAGAAGAAGCTGGCGCGTTCGGCGCCGCGACAGAGGTAAAGTAACGCGATGTTTTTCTCGTGGACCGTCATCGTAGATCCATTTCAATCAGGCGCGATGATGTAAGCGCATTTTTGCCGGCGACAAATAATCAAGGGATCGGGCG